CCGACTCCCTGACTCCCCGGCTCCCTGGCTCCCTGACTCCCTGACTCCCTGACTCCCTGGCTCCCTGACTCCCCGGCTCCCTGACTCCCTGACTCCCTGACTCCCTGACTCCCTGGCTCCCTGACTCCCCGGCTCCCTGGCTCCCCGACTCCCTGACTCCCTGGCTCCCTAACTCCCTGACTCCCCAACTCCCTAACTCCCTAACTCCCTGACTCCCTGACTCCCCGGCTCCCCGGCTCCCCGGCTCCCCATCTGCGAGCTTTAGCCCGTGCCACAGGGGCTTTGTCCACGCTGGGACACATCCCTGTCTACAAGAGGAGGCTTTCATATGATCCTCGTGTCCGCTCTCCCTGGGGGACCAGAGCTGTGTGACAGCGAGCAGGGGCATCTCTCCTCCCCTGCAGGCACGCACCGCCTGTCCAGCTCCATCCGGGCCACCAAGGGCAGGTACCAGCACCGAGTCTCAACCCGAGCATCAGCAGCTTGGGCTTAGCTGGCTCGTCCTCTGCAGGCACGAGAAAAGGCAGATGAGTGGCTGGCTGGATTAATTCCCTATTGCCCAGCAGCAATGGAGGTAAAGGCAGGTGGTGCAGAGCACAGAGACCCCCACTCGCTGCACCACACTCAGGACCTCTGTCTGTGAGCGGAGAAGCGAGGGGAGGCTGCTGCCAGGAGAGCACCCACCTCCCACAGCTGGTTCGACTGCCCAGCCACCCCCCAGTGACCTCCAGGAGCACGGGGAGCTTTGTGCCCCACTGGTCCGAGCCTGGGACCAATGCCTTGGACAACTAATCCATGCCTCTCCATAACCTCCTGTCCCATTGGCTCCCTGTTTTATTTTTTCAGACCTAAAAAAGCTGTCACCTCCACAGAGCTCCACTGCACTCCGAGGTTGCCATAGGCTGATGGCTGCTTCCCAAGTCCAAGAGTGCTCAGCATTGCCAAGGGGACAGGGCCAGCCTCAGATCTGAGGACATCAGGAGCTGTGTAAAGATGCTGTCAATTGCCTGAAGCATCAGGAAACTGAAGTGTTTTTGCAAAGTTTAGGAGAAAGTTTAGAAGCTGAATGATTTTTAGGAAGATGAGTGTACAAACTGGCAAGTTAAACCAGGGTATCATAAAGTGTTACTTTCAAGGCTAAAAATCAAAACCATATGCTATAAAGGCAGAGGAGAGGCAACCACTCAGGTGCAAATATTCTGCAGCCCTTACACCTTGCCCTTTACCTAAAAAACACCTTGCCCCAACAATGAAGGGAAAGGTATTGATCCTCTGAAGCATGGCTTTGTATCCAGGTAACGTTACCAGTTTCTCACTTCAGTTTTATTAAGCAAGTAGTCCCAGTTCATTTTACAGTGACCATGTGCTCACACATCAGCCCCTGCAAAGTTGTTTAGATACAATATCATCAAGAATGTTAGTCCAAAGTCTAAAATTCCTGTGGTCCACAACTGATAAAAGCTACATACTGTCAGTTGTAGTAATTATAATTCAAATTATAGGAGAAAAGCAAAGGTGATAGAGAAATAATGCAAGAACACTCTTGCAGTTTTTCCAAAATTAAATGCTTTCCATTTTGTCATTGCTGTAGCTAGCAAGGTGCTTTGACAACTTCAAATTGCCACCTCTAAGGGAAAGGGAAACATGGTAGGAGGGAAGAGGAGAGACTAATAAAATAAAATTTTACTTTTTGATCTTAGATCAAATTCAGTTCCTACTGAACCTGCTTGCTTTGCTCAGAACAAAGCTGGATCTGGGCTATAAGGGCAAAATTATTCTGGACTGATGCAAACATCAATGCAGATACAAAATATCCGGTTAAAACACAAGGCTTTCATGTGAAGTGCATCCACAGTGCTTAATGTATTCACAAAACTGAATATACTGATACATTTGTGCTGGCAAGAGTGAACCACTCATCACTGTCAATGTACTTCAGTTTAATGTGGTTTGAAAAATAGCAGGTTCAGTCACCAAGTTAGGCATATCTAACTGCAAATTTTTCATTAGCAATTGTCTGTTTGTGTAGGAAGCTGTGGTGTCAGTCCATTGCACACATCCCTTCTTGCATGGCACATTAAAAGGAAACAAAAACCATGAGAGGCCAAAAGGAGCTGCTCATAAAAAGCCAAGCACAGATTGTTCATTGCTAATGGATTGTGGACAGTTGGTCAATGTATTTTCTATAAAAACCTGGTGCATTTAAAGCAGCTTATTTCATGAATCACAAATTACTGCACCAAATTTCTGAGGGCATCTGAGCCATGTTTTAAGAGTATCTAGAATCACAGCCCCCCACTTCTCACTGAGCTGTTTCACGTCTTTGTTGCACTTCTTCCCTGACCTAAAAAGTAATTTATTTTGTCTTACCAAATTTTGAAGTTTACACATGAAAAACTCTTTCTGTCAAGATGTGATAACTCTCCTTGCTTGGTCAAAACTGGCACCTGGTTCTTAAAAGAAATTATCAAACCAAAAGTTCTGCTGCTAATACTGTCATTTGTATTAATTTGGGAATTATTTCATAATGTACTCACAGTGATAAAGGAAAAGGACTTGACTCCTGCTCTGAGACTTCTTGAGCCCACTTCACCCATCTCTTTTGTGAACAACAGCAGAAACAATGGACTGACTCCCCTCAAAATGTAGAATAAAGGTGCTACATTATGAAGGCTCAGCCAGGAAAGAGTTGTCCATGAAGATCAGTATGACAGAAGCAAATGTTGTACCTGGACAAACAGGAGCATATAGTGTGCATGGGGCTGTGAGCTCATCCCTACAGGCTCTTCAGCACTGGCTGAGCCCCAGGGGAATACGGGTCCGGTTGTGAGTACCAGGCTGCAAGGTGGGCTGATAGAGATGTTTAGGGCTGAGTACCACAGACAGACTCTTTATACCAACATTCTTCAGCACTCCAAATGTCTGGCTAATGACTGACAGTGTAAACAACTTACTTGTGCATGATTTGTGCTCATTCTAGTGTACTTGCTCTCTCTCAAGTAAGCTGAACAGAACTGTGAAAGTCCTTTCTGAAATGTTGACTTGCTGGGGATCTGGAGCTAGCGATAAACGCTGCAGATTTATTTCAAACAGAACTTCTCTGGGTTTATTGATTCATTTAATTGAACTTTCCTTTTTCCTCTCTTTTCTTAAACACAGCTCTTGAAAATGAAACAATTCAGTCTTGGGCATACCATGTACATTTTTTCAAGATTCATTAGCACAGTACAAATGTAACTGAAAGCAGAACCAACCCATTGTTTTGGGAAGCAGTTCACCATATAGTCTATACTGCTTGTTAGTCACTTTCCTGTTTATTATCACAGGCTGGATGCAGGTGGTTTAGAGAAAAAAAAAATAGAAGTTACATAAAACATGTGGGCCAGATCCTCAAGGGATATAAATTGTTGTTGTACCATTTACAGGCTCTGGAGGACAGGCTGTACCAAATCAAAGTGTCCTTTGTTTTCTAATAAGATCTTACTGCATAGACTAGAAAAGAGATTTATTTATTCTGTAGCACTGTGACCTTGATTAACCTCATTTGTAGCATCTATTTCAGTGAAAGAGATAATATCGTCACTGACTTAGCAACTGTATGTTGCTAAATGCAGTATATGGCTGCTCATGTATCATTTGCTTCTCTCAAGCAATTTTCTGTCAGCAGAGAGGCAAGCTAGATGTATGCTCTGGGTGGTTCCCATATCATCATTAGCAGAAAATTAAACCAAACTGTTGTAAAAGTTGAGCTGTCAGGAAGACACTGATTAAACACTTACCACCACAGTCAGCCCACATTGCATAATGTCTTTTTTAGAGGATTTCAGCCTGTTTTCAAATTGGTGGCCAGTGCCATGGGCTCAACTGAACCTTCACTCAGGCCTTGAGAAGTAGGCTCAGATAAGCTTGGCCCTTTTTCATCTCACGAGAATTTTATTTCAGTGTCATATAGTACAATACAGGAAAAAGCAATTCTTAATCTGTAGTTTGAGGTTGCTCTTGCACTACTAAGCTGTTCTCACCAAAATCTTTCACAGGTTCTTGCAGTGGTGCTGCAGTCACAGCAATCCATTGTGGTCACACTGAGGTGTAGCTATCTGTCATGCAAAGAATGGGAAAGTGTGACTGTTTTGAAATGATGGGATCTGAATTACCTAAATAAAATTTTTCCTGCATGAGAGACCTTGGAGCGACAACTGAGACAGTAATAATAACACTGTACTCTATATTTCCCCTCCAACACAGGCAAGCTGCATCTTCAACATTCCTGTGTGAAACACATCCATATGTTGTGGATAGCAATTTTGAAGCACTGAGCTATTATCACTAATAACCAATTTTATTAATCCTTTTCAGAATGGAGCAGCACACACTGGCACACAGAGATGATGCAGTCCTTGTCCAGAGGGACACACCAGCAGAACATCAAAGACAACTGTGACAAATGAGACCACATTATGCAAATTATTAGTGGGTTCCATGGTTTTATTTTGTATTTTGCCTTCCTCTCTCCTGCCTCCCCTAGCCTTGGGCTTCCCTTGCTCAGCTTTCCCCTTTCACCCTGCTGCTTTCCCTTCTCCTTCCCATGCCTCCCTTTCTGCTGACACTGCTCCTAAGAGCCAGTACTGAGACAAGTCAAAGGTGCTCAATACAGCCAAAAGGCTGAAAGATTTCCACCCTAGGAAACAAGAAACCTTTGTACCTTCAGGACACTGGACGGTCCTTTACAAGCAACTTTTACTCTGTTGAAGCTTGTTCTGTTGGTGAGGAGTCTGATAAAATAATCCTAATAAGCAAAGAGGTTTACTGATATTGCCTCTAAACAGGACACTGGAAACGGGATGGCTAATGCTCAAATCCTGCCTCCAGTGGTGTGGGCAGATGCTTAGTGACTGCAGATACCCGATTTTGCTTCAACAAGTTTCTTTTGTCTTTTTACAGTTACCCAGACAAAACTCATCTTTTCTGTTGACCAGTGTTTCTGAAGACAGCCAGAAACAGGTCAGGTGCACCAAACCCAGCAGCTGGTATTTCACACCTTGAATCCTTTCAAAAGTTGGGTTCATCTGACCCCAGGCTGGATATGTTGGAAATCTACTCTAGTTTTATTATTATTATTAAAAACTGTAAGCAAGACATTTCCAGAGAGCTGTGAAAGACTATTCACAAGGGGATGTAGTGACATGAAAAAGGGGAATGGCTTCAAACTGAAAGAGGGCAGGTTTAGATTAGATATTTGGAAAAAATCCTTTACGGTGAGGTTGTTGAGGCATTGGAACAAAGTGCCAGAGAAGCTGTGGATGCCCACCCCTGAAAGTATTCAAGGCTGGACTGGATGAGGCTCTGGGTAACTTGGCCAAGTGGAAGGTGTCCCTGCCCATGATAGGGGGATTGGAACTAGATGGTCTTAAGATCCCTTCCAACCCAGGCTGGCCTGTGACTCTATGATTAAATGAGAGCTGGGTCGCAAAACACTGACTGCACCCATGAAAAATCTGCCTTTTGTTGGAACTTTTAATTTCAACAAATTTCAGAGTTTTGAAAATTTAATTTCCAGCTCACATAATCTGTAACCTTGACAGTTACGTGAAAAATACTTCTAGTACTAGATACTTGCTAGCCCCAGAGCTAGATGAACCAGGTATTTTGACGTGGTCTTACAGAGGCTGTGAAAGCTTTTTTGTTTCTCAATAAATGAAAACTTTCTTGCACTGATGACTGTTCCGTCTAAAGGCATACTAATAGGAGCAAACAGAAATAATTTTACAGAGAAACTTTTGCATATGGCTTGAAAAACAAATCCATCAAGAATTGACAATGATAGATAATCTCCCCAGTGACATTCAGGAATAATGCATTTTCACATTTATGTCAGGAAAAAACAAACAATAGACATATTTAAATAATTATTAAAAATGAGATGCCTGGCAGAAGGCAGGTTACAACTCTGTTCTGCCACACATCTTCTGGAAATCTTTTATGGACATTATCTGAGGCCTTCTTATTTGAATTGCTCATGAAAAAGAACTGTAATGGAGGTTCACCCAAGTAAAAGGTTCTCTCAAGGGAAATTACATGAAAGGACATTTTTCTTGTCTTCATGTTTGACATTTAGGAGTAGTGAAGATAAAAGTCAGGCACAGGAGTCTTTCAGAAAACCACCAGAGAGCAGTGGCAGCATTTCATAGGGACGTGAACCGTTCATCTTCTGCTGCAAAGACTCCATTAATGTGGCCTGCTTTTAAATCCAGTGCTTCACAAGGAATCCCATTTTCTAGTGTCACTTCGACTTTCTCTTCTAAATTTTCTCTCTCTGTTGACTCTTTATTCTTTCTAAAAACAAGAAAGAAAAGATCATCTTATTCTGTTGACCTGCAGCACTCCACCGTGATTCCACTGAAAGAAAACTGCATATTTAGTTAGAAGTTTCTCATAGGTTATGCTCCTAAAGACACAATCTAGTTTACTTCTTTGCTGTAGTAAACACACCAGATGGGTGTATCTAAATACAATAGCTGTGGGACCCACAGGAAGCCCTAGTTTGGCAGTTTAAGCTCAGAGTTGGAGACCAGAAAACCTGAAGTAGACATGTTGTAAGTATATTTTAAATATTATTTCACTTTCTTATTCTGCAATATGACTAGAAGGTGCAAAAGAAAAGCTGGGCAAAACAAAATTTGAAAAAAATCTCTAAATCTGTTTGGGTTTTTTTACATCAGGAAGGTCTACACTAAGAATGTAATCTGACCCTGCAATGTATGTCATAGATCACACCCCATGATCTGTACAAAATAAAACATATTTTTTAGAAACAGATCAGTCTTAGACTAACTACAGCCTCCAAATGTGGAGATTTGGTTGCCCTCACATCCATGATTACCTTCTTCAGAACATTCATGATTACTTTCTTAGGTAATCTCAATGCTGCAAATCTACTTTTTTTCTTCAAACTTCATTAGCAGCCATCTTCCTACCAAGTATTTTATACTTTTGTTTTCTAGATCAAACAACTGCATAGTTTTCACTTTTCTAGACTCCAGCTGTCCCAAAAACATATTATAATAGTGATTGAATAAAATTATTTACATAAAAAAAAAACCCTAGAAAATATTATCTAAAATACAATAATTTGAAAATGTAATAAACAAATATCAGTCAACAGGTCATGATGTTCCTTTGATTCCAGATTTATTCTGACCATTAGAACAATTAGTTCATAGTTGAAAATCCTGCTGTACTTTATGGCCTGCAGCATCAGCGGTTTCAGAGGACAAGAAACTCAAAGGTCAGGTGTACTGCTTCTTCCTATCTCACAGCGTGCACTGTAACAATCTGACTCAGGACAACTGTAAAAATCTGACTCAGAGTAACTGCTAATGACAGAGATATTAACAATAATAAAATTTTATAGGCCTTTGGGAGATTCTTCACTACAGGCTTTTTAAAATAAACTTGGGGTGTAGTAGCTGAAACCTCTGACCTCGGGCTGCTCTTTAATACAAAACTGTGAGGACAGAACATCAAAGTTACTAAGAAGGAGGTTCAAAGGAAATGAGAGGAGTAGAAGATGTGTGAAACTCATTACCGGAGGAATTCAGAGAAGCTAAAAATTTCCATCAAGTCAAGGGGTGACTCAACCCCTTAAGGTAAGGGAAGTTAAGGGAAGAGAAAGTTAAGGGAAAACATTGCAAGTTACCCAATACAAGAAGACCAAATGCAGTTCAGGAAGGCTCACAAATTAAGCTGCAAATTAATTACTGGGAGAACTAATACAGGGAAAGACTGTGTGCTTACTCTGTTTTATCACTTCCCAAGGCATTTTTTTATGGCCCCTGCTGCAGATTGGATTTTGGGGGATAGGGCTAGTTCAGGATAGACTGCAGAGGATGATTCTGCCCTGGGAAGTGGCAAATCTATTGCTGTAGGGGGAGGTGTCCTATTACTGCAAGGAAAGGAGAACAAACACAAGGCTGGGAGACAGTGTGTCTGACCTAGCTCACTGTAGGCACTGAATTCAGCAAATCTCTCAGTTAAATAAATGATGCATGAGTCTAACTCAAATCTGAAACTCCTCTGTAAGCCAGCTCCCCTTCCCTAATACCCTGTGCACGGACAGCCTGGAGCACGTGCTTTTGGTCTTATCTGAACTGAGATACTTAAATAGTATTTCAAAGGCCTTTAAAGACAAAATGCCAGATTTATGAGAAGCCAACATGATCCTAGGGGCCAGATTCCCAACACAGCCTGCTAGGCAATAGGACTCCCATTATGTAATCTCTGGACAGATTTCTAAGGAAACTAATTATTGAACATGCTGAAGTCTTTGAAAACCTGGTCACTTACTTTACTGTCTGACAAAGATCAGTACTTTTGAAATCCTTTTCTCTGATTTCTGGCCTTTTTTTTTTTTTTTTTTTCCCAGGGAGCCAAATAACCCAGACCATCCCTTCTACCTCTCTGGTCCTTGCAACAGTAGACAGAAGAAATATATGCTTGGTTTACCCTCTCTCTTACTTCCCTGCCCCTGCCTGCAGATGTTATTGATGTGAAAGGAGGGTTACAGTTCAGCCACAGATGAACCTGCCCTGAGGAAAGGTTATATGGGATGACAGAGTAGGGAAACAGAGGGAGAAGTGAAAAAAACACAGCAACTAAAAGGACAAGAGCATGAGACAGAGAGGGTGCCAAGTGAGCACAGGCAGGCAGCAACAAGCCATATTAATGGCAGTGTGATGATGAGAGCATGCTGTTTGCACAATATTGAGGGGAACTGCCCAAGCTCTACTGAGTTATTTTGAAAATAGAGGGGGAAATCCTGTCCTTCAGCATGATATGAAGCACAAGTGATTATTTTATCTAGAAAAATCCCAGGTATTTATCCTATGTTTATTTATATTACACTAATGTGAAATAGTCAAAGACCCCCTTAAAGTTAGGCACTATAAAAAAACACAGAGCCATGATACCACAGACATCAGGTAGGGGCTTCAGGTAGCAACATCATTCAGTTTTACAGAAGAGGTTGCCTATGCTTAAGGCATGAAATAATTCAGTCCATAAAACATGGTTGTGATAGGGCTTTAACTATCCAAGGATTCAAAATACCTTCTCAGACTCTTTCCCCAACAGCATCTTTCATCTATTCTTTGCTGAATTATGTGGGGCTTTTTAGAAAACAGAAGGGGGTTTTGGAAATTCATGTAACCCCTCTGATTGCAAAATATAACTGAAGGGATTCTGACTACACTACTAAAGGTTCTCTATAGGAGAAGCACTTAACCTTCACAAGTGTTGTTCTTCTGAGGTCTTTTAACATTCTTCAAGGTAATAAAAAGGCAGAAAGAATAAGTCTCTGCAACATACCCCTTTTCATATATTAATTCCTTGTTCGGATATATTTGGGGATATAATCTATTACACCGTTAATAATTTTGATATTACCTGGTTATCAGCAGGAATTTACCCTTTTCCAGTTTTTCTACTGTTCCTGTATGAATCTATTGCTCTGAAGTTGTAATTTTTGTGTAAACTTAAACTCTGTGTCAGCCAAAAGCATGGAAGAAGCTGAACTTCTATGGCAGAATCTCAACTCAGCTGAGAAATTTATATTTCTTATGCTCAACTCAGAGCCAGTAGAGATGTCAGGACCAAAACTCCACCTGCTGTCTGTGTTGCTCCCACATGCTCACACTAGGGAAGCATAAATACCCTTCTCTTTTTCATGAGTGCCACCAGGGCAGAAACAGAGAGGAAAAGAGAGTATCTCTCCTACCCTTCCTCCAGAAAAACTCCTAAGCTCATGAGGAGATCTGCCCATGAACCTGTGAAGGGCTGGGTATTTTGAGATAATGAAGTCATGAATGGTAAGCTCCAGTGAGCAGGCCCTCTTCAGCCATACATTAATCATTACTGTGCTCTGCTGAGCCTTCTCAAGCTGCAGCAGCACAGTCTTTTTAGCCCTACCAGCTTTTGACACTAGTGCCCTGGAAGGGACACAGTCACTGCCAGCCTTCCTTGGTAGCTGTGTGGGTGGTCTGGGAGAGGAGACTCACCCATGGCACAATAAATCTTCGCAAGAATGACATAAATTGTCTTTTAAAAGCTCATCTCTACTTAGGTGGCCTCCAGGATCATATTCCTACACTCTCCATTTCCTCGTTACATCACAAAATTACTAATGCATCTGTACCTTACAGTTAAAAATTTAAAATCTTTTCCTCAGAAAAGGAGAGATGGGTTATCTTTACCTAGCTAGGGAAGGATGCGCAGCATTAATCTCTCTGAGGCGGCTCTGAAACACAAAACTAGCTCAGTTGACCTAACTAATCAGTATTCCATTAAAACAGAAGAAAGGCTAGGCTGCTTACTTCTTGTGTTTCTGAATCCCTGAAACAATGAGGAAAACAATCCCAGCCACAATGAGACAAAGAACAACACCAAATACAATAATCCAGACAGGTGTAGAGGGCTCAACAGGAGGTGACAAGGTTGATGTTATCTTCAGGAACTGCAGTGTCTTGTCACTCAGTAGGAAGGCATTGTTGATTCTGTTCCGGTTCATCCTTCAGGAAAAAAACCACAAAAAAACAGAAAAACATCACAAGTCTCTATAAAGGTATTTTACAAGTTTAAAAGATAGTAGAAAATAAAATAATTTTTCACGAATGTGCTGCAAGTAAGGCAGAGCTGAATGTCATCCAGCATGATGAAGAAAAGCATGTTGTCTACCTTTAGTGGGGATCAGCCTCTTCTCTCAGGCAACAGGACAAGAGGACATAGCCTCAAACTGCACCAGGGGAGGTTCAGGCTGGACAACAGAAGATTTTTCTTCACTGTAAGGGTGATTAAGCATTGGAAAAGGCTGCCCAAGGAGTGGTGGAGTCACCATCCCTTGAACAACCCCTAAGTTGTTCAAGACACAACTTAGTGCCATGGTCTGCTTGACACAGTGATGGTTTGGTCAAAGGTTGAACCTGATGACCTTGGAAGTCTTTTCCGACCTAAATGACTCTGTGATTCTATGATTTTATCATTGTGTGCTTCTGTGATGTTGGCAGGATTGCACAGACCTTGCCTATAACAGACCTCAGTAATCCATAGACACCCACACACTTGTACCATTTCGAACACCAGACTTTCGCACGCATTTATCTGAAAAACTGGTAAATACAGATGAGACCTGAAGTATGATATTATTATTTACTTCTGGTTTGAACCATGTTCTGAAGACATAGCAGGGTGTAAGCTGTAAGGCTGGCTCTGTTGCCTTGCTCATGCAGCATTCAAGATGAGCACAGGGGTGGCAGATCTACCCTTCAATACTTGCAGGATTTACTTAGAGTTTCCCCCTAGTCTCTCAAACTGAACTATCCTGCATGTTATGGGTTGGTATGTCTGCCCCTGCTGCTGTAGATTTTATTTGATCCATGAGGATCAGGATACAATTTGGTCTGGAAGAATCCACACCTGTTGCAAACATGTCCTTCTTCCCTGCAGGATGCAGTATTACGGCCTGGGATTCCCAGGGTCCATCCGACCCCGGCTGCTGTAGGTGTCCTGGATAGCGCTGGGCTGATAAGCACAACCTGTCCAGGTCCCTCAGGCAGGCTCCCAGGCAATCTTAGCAAGCAGCTCAGCTCTTATTTGAGATCAGCTCTTTGGCGAATTCAGCTCTTCAGTGATTTCAGCTCTTTGCCTGCTAAGTGCCTCAGCAGATGCAGGGAGAGAGAGGAGAAGGTTGTATGAGGTTCTACAGCGGTGTCTTTATTGGCAACTCATGTGAAGGGTTTCAGTGACAGCTCTTCTGCTGAACTGGGCAGAAACGGGGGTTTATATAGGGTATGTAGGTTTTTGGAAATGGTCCAATAGCAAGGGTCAAGGCGAATATGACCTATGGTCTTACAAAGATATAGTGAGGGTCCGAAGGTGGAAGAGGGGCTACTTTGGTCCAGTCATCATGACTTGGCATTTCTTATCTTAGGCAAGTGACCTCCAGGGAGGCCTTGCAGGGCCTCTGGCTGCTACAATGCAGCTAAAGGGATTTGTACTTTCCACATTTTTTCCATTTTCATATGAGAAACTGGAAGTCTGAAAAACATGCTTATTCACAGAAGTAGTACAACTGCTATCCTTTAGTGGATATCTTCACCCCTTTTCACTGCCTGTAAGCGTTATACTGCCTGTAAGATATTTCTGGATTTAAATCTAAGCAGGCTTAAGAGGCTTCAGAAGTATCTTTCATCAGCTTTTTCAAAATGTTAAAAATTTTTAAGCAAGTGGATTACATATATTGGTCTTGAGAGATCGTTTTTGATAGCAGTTGTATGAATGAATGCAGCTCTTTCTTGTATACAATTCAATTTATTTACCACAAAGCAAGTATTTCCTAAGAAAAGATGCATGGGAAATACAGGTAAGATTTAACAAATTTCTCTTCTTGGAAATCATAATGTTCGGCTGTCCCTTAAACAGGAAGTTCTTAGCCTTAATGGAAAGTCAGCATTCCTGGACAGGACTGAAAGCCATGGCATGTTTTAAGACTCATAATTCCGTAAGCTGTCTGCCATTTAGAAAATATTTCCTTACTGATATGAAAGGAGCATTGTGAACAGCTGAAATAAGCATTGTTTACCCCCATCTAATGGCTTGAGTTTCACAATTAAGTGTTGAAACACATGCAGGCAACTACAAGTGCATTTCATGTTTCTATATGCATAACTATATCTTGTGTATATTTATGCAAAATATTGAGCATCATACAGAGCTCTGACATGGTTTACCTTCTTCTTTATTCTTACTTTGTAGGAATCTCATACAACAAAATTCTAGTCCATGACTAGTGTTATGTGCTATCCTATCATGAAGAATTATAGTAATGTTTTTGTAGATAAGCCTGCAATCATAAGCAATTGAACAAAAAGCATTGTAGTTTTATAGACCATTTTATTTCTTGTTTTTAAATTAGGTAGGAATTAAAACTTGTCATAAATAGCATATTCTTTATCAGGTGACAAACAACAGTTAAAAAACAAACAATAACAGCATCAAATTTCTGTGCCAAAGGGGGCACATAAAAGACTTAAATAAATGAGCTTATGCTACTGAATGTATCAAAGAATAACAGAAATGCAAAACCCCTGCATTCCAGCACTCTTACAGAGAGTTTCAGTGAATAAATAATCTGCTTCCTCCACTAATGCTATGAAGCTATTGTTTGGAGTCTCTGTAGGAAATAGTTTAATCTGCTCATAAGCTTAAATTAATCTTTCCAAAAGAACGCATACTCATTCATCAGGAATTAGGCATTACACTTCCATAGCGATAACAAGAATTTTCAAGACAGAGCACAGAATGCCTGAAAACAAAGAGAACCATTTTCCACTCCATGCTTGAGAAATATATGTGCATTATGCTGCTCAAGGGACTCATCCTTATGAACCCCTGGTGCAGGTTTTTTTTGACCATTGAAGTCAGATTATCCCATTTTTTCTTTTTTCCTTGTCAGCTCCACATACTTCCTTTTACTTGCTCTAGAATGTGATAGTAGAAGGCAAAGTGATTTGTAGTGCACTGTACTTTGTACAAGCCATGCTCAACTGGGATATTGACTGGCATTCTAGAACCAGCTGGTATGAAAAGAATGTGAGCATAAAATTGCTTAAGCCACTCTGGGACACAGCCAGCTCTGCTCATGAGGAGTTCACACGAGCTCTCCTCATGTGAAAGCTGACTTCTAAATTAAGTCAGATGAACTGTTAGTGAGAAGCAGTGAAAGGGAGCCTACGGTCATTAACCCAGCTGTAGATTGCATGTAGCATGCAGTGAAAGCTAAATTATATTTTAAAAAGTGTGCCCTTCCCTCACCTGAGGAAGAGGGCTGGCTCACTGGGAAGTGTGATGAGAGCTGGATGAGAGCAGTGTGCCACACACTGGACAGCACATGGCGGGTAGGGCTCTGGAAAGGAACTAGATTTCTTCTGAGTCTCCAGCATCTACAGAGACTCTTTCCAATGTTATAATCCCAAGGCTCTCATTCTTTGCATTCTGTGGGACTGTTAAACGTCCTCTAATCTCACATTCATTAAAGAGTACTGAGCCCTCAGTGTTTTAGCAACTTGGATTAGTTCATCCTTAAAGAGGCAGAGTGCTCATTCATACAAGGCCCAGAGAGCAAAAACAACCTCAGTTAAACACAGAAAAAACATTGCAAAAGCAGTGACTGTACCTGATGGCTGCCTCCACCTCACTTCCAGGAACAGTTGTCACATTTTTGGAAGAATCTGTAACCACAAACCAAAAGGACACCCGGTCTGTCACATTGCAGAGCAGCACATTGGAAATTCTGCAGACAGTTAAAACAAAAATCATCATTAAAGAAGCATGGAAGGAATTATTGAAATTTTTTAGATTTTCTTAAAATATTGCTCTCAACTAAGGGGGAAAAAATTCTTATTTTCTTTTTTTTTTTTCTTCTTATTTTCTTTCTTATTTTTAAAGAATCTAACAGTTAACACTCAAGAAAGAAATACTCACCCACAGCATTTTCCATTTCCCATATGATTTTAAAGATATCAAGGTTATGAAGACCAAATGAGTCTTCAAGTAAATTTCTAAATCTATTAAAGACTTTCGTGGTCTTGGAAATGTATTTAGCGTAATCAAATGGAAAAATACATATTAGAATAACAATCCATGGCTATGAAAAAGGCCATATAATGGAGCAAGGGCATTGTGAACTAAAAATTCTAGTTTTGATAGCAAATACCACAGGAACCAGTCATTGAGAAATGCCCACGTGATTGTTACGCGAGTGCAGTTCTACAAGATATATTTGTTGGAGGGAAGATCAGTGCAATTGATGTTATAGTTTTTGACATCTTTGTTCACAGACCCAGGCACAGAGTGGACGGAACAAGCTAAATTTAGTCATTCTACTGACACTAGCCTCTTCCTTTTAGCTTATGCTGTATCAAATATTTATATTTTCTTTTCAAAGGAAGATTGTTCAGTTTTATGTGAAGTTAAATGTGGAGGGGGGAATAGGCAGGCAGCTTCTCGTGGTATATTACGTAAATAGTGTGCAAAATGCCTTTTAAACGTGCGTTTTTTTCTTCAGATTTCTACTGGTAAATGGTGGAAACACCAGAAAACGTTTCTGGAATGACACAATCGGGAGATTTTAAGCAAAAGAAGTGAGAGACAAACCGGGCCAGCTCTGCTGGGCAGCGCCACCTGCCGGCCGCGGGCAGCACCGCCCCGGCCCCGGGAGCCCAGAGCGGGACGGGGGGACTGGGGGGATTTGGGGGATTGGGGGGATTTGGGGGACTGGGGGGACTGGGGGGATTAGGCGGATTGGGGGTGAAAGGGACAGGAGGGAGAGAGAATATCCACACCTGGGCATTCCCCATCCAGACAGGGATCTGCTTGTAAGGCAGATCACAGTGCCTTATTATGGATATTTTGTATAGATGTTTTACTTCTCGATGAAAATTTCTTTTGAGTGATTTTTTGGGTGCTCCAGATAGTGCAATAGATCATTTTACAGAGGCCTGTCTATCTATCTATCTATCTATCTATCATCTCATTAATCATAGAAGAGCATTGGCTGAAAAGGACCTTAGAGATTTATTCCAACCCTTATGCCATGGGCAGTGAACCTTCCACTAGACCAGGCTGCTCAGAGCTCCATCCAGCCTGGCTTTGAATGCTGCCATGGATGGGGCATCCACAGCTTCTCTGGGCAACCTGTGCCACTGAGTCACCACCAGTGAAGAATTTATTACCAATATCTAATCTAAACCTACTCTTTCACTTTGAAGACATTCCCATTTGTCCTGTCACGTGCCCTGGTCAAAAGCCTCTTTCCATCCTTCTCGTAGACTCCCTTCAGGTACTGGAAGATGCTGTAAGGTCATGACAGAAGTCTATCTTTTTCAGGCTAAGCAAACCAAATTGTCTCATCTTTTCCTGGAAAGAGAGGTGGTCCGTCCTCTAATCTCAGAATCACAGAATATTCTGAGCTGGAAGGGACCCACCAGGATCATTAAGTTCAACTCTTATGGGAGTGATCTACACAGAAATCAAAGGCACAACCTTGGCATTATTAGCACCATGCTCCAACCAACTGAGCTGATTTCATTTTGGCTCTTTGGAGCTTGCTCCAACAGTTCCATATCCTTCCTGTGCTGGGGACCCCAGAGCTGGATGCAGCACTGCAGGTGGGGTCTCAGCAGAGGAGAGCAGAACAGAGGGGCAGAATCCCCTCTCTTGCCCAGCTGGCCACACTGCTTTGGATGCAGCTCAGGATGCAGTCAGCTTTTTGGGCTGTGAGCACCCATTCCAGAGAGGTATGCAATAAAATGGAAAACAGTGATTTTGCAGAGCCAAAATGACCACTTTTACCTCTCTAGAACAGTATCCATTTTACAGAGAATTTTTATGGATAAAAGAGGAAAGCCACCCTCTGGAATTTGAAAAGATGTTCACATCAGTTGCTGGCAACAGTCAGAAGATGAAAGCAGATTTATTATTTGCAAAACAAAAAGAAAGCACAAAATTTACAGGAGAGGGCAAAAATGCCTACTTTTAGCTGGTGGCTGACAAACTCTTGCTGACTTAACAGAATATCTAAAATTGTAAATGCAGAGGAAGTTTTCTATCTCAATGTTTATAACAGTAGGACCCAAAACTTCATGTTGCCAAAGTTCCTAAAGCTGCAGCTTCTGTGGTGGAATCAAAAACCGGGCCAGGTGGAAAACCTGAGTTGGTGTTGCCCTACAGATGTTCTTGAAATGGGGTGAGAATGATCCCCAAAGAGAAAGATAAGGCAGACAAGGACTGGCAGAACACCCAGACTGTCCTACCCTGATTCAAAGACTCTTCAAGCTAGGGTCCTCCCTAAAGTGCCAAAGTTTTTAGCATGAGACAAGGCATTCAGTCACCACAGGGGTAGCATCTCTCTGTAGAACAAACAGCACTGAAACACAGGGCAGCAAGGATTGCACTAGGATATCTAAATTTGGCTTCTTTTCTTTTCCCTGTTGTTTCTAAAATCCTTCTCAATTACAAGCATCCAGACTCTGGTTTCACTGCCATCACTTTTTCATCTGTGGAATACAAATGCCATAGACCCTTCAGGCCCCAAAGAGAATAATCCCACTCATGAGAAGTTCAAAGGGGATGAGGAAACACCAAAACAGACTGGTTCAACAAGCACCAATGTGGCAACTTCTGTGCAGTGGTGCACTTTTTTTCCTCCCATGCCCTTTGCTTGCAGGTTTGATTCACAACAGAGAACCATTGCAACTATGCCATCACACTGTATAGATCTGAGAAACCTGGCTTCTCCAGGCACTAATGAAGGGTATTTGTAAATATATATGTGGACATTTTTTCCTTTCCTTAGCAGCTGATAGACTTTTGACATGGGATTATCGTCACATTATTATGATTTATCATCAAAATGACAAAATCCTTGTTCAGCCTTATGGCACCATGGCAAAAGTCCAAAATTGCATTTCCTTTAATACACCAGTGAGTAGAGTGCAGGAAACCCTGGCCATTCCTTGGCCTGAAACACCATCATTGGTCCTTATGGAGATTTAAATGATTGCTTAGGGGTAAGAAAGAGCTGTCAGAGAGTCAAAGGGAGCTGAGTGCCCATAATGGCTGTTAGCTCATGGAAGAACCACAGTCCCCAAGTCCCAGGTGCCTCTCTCCAGCTCTCCCAAAAGTATCACACCTCTTCCAACACAGGGCTCTGCAGCTGCTTCTGCAAAGGAACATTATTTTCTTCCCAGCAGTCATGGGATCACTTTGATTTAACAGCTTTACTCCAGGCTCTTATTTTGTTATTCTAAATGGTCAAAATATTTTTAGTATCAAAAAAGCCTGTCTTAGGAAGATGGATAATGTTGATGATTTTTTTTTTTCTGGTCACTTTGCAAGGAAAATTTCAGCTTTTTTTGAATGTATAAATGGGGGAAAGATGTACCAAAAATAGATTCTGTTATTTGAATGAAAACAAATGTGTTCACATTCTTTCTGCTCTAAAGATTAACTAGTCTCAGGCCCAAAAGAGATGCATATTATTTCAGATGAGTCACAGATTAGAGAAACCAGGGTTACTAACACAGGCTACAACAATAATTTTTTAACACTGAGAGATCAAAGGTTGGCTTATGTAGTTCATGACCATATGAATTGAGAATCAATTGAAAGGTCATATATAAAGCAGGAAATAATGGGGTATTAATTCTCCACTGAAATATAAATATTTATTTGTAACTCTAGTAATAGTTACTGAGTAATGTGATTGATTGTACCTTTCTTCTGTTTTGTGCAAACTTGAAAATTTGACAAGCCTCTCAAACATTAAACACTGCTCCATGATTTATTAAATTTCAGTTTGGAAATTAACTTTAGAGAGCTTGAGATGTAATGTGCAATTCTCCTCATTTTGTGCTGGGTCATTCTGTGGTTACACAAGGACAACAACAGAATCAACTGCTGTTTGCAGCAGCACATTGAAATGCTTGTCATCACAGCCTGGCTTTTATCCACATTCAGAAACCTAACAAGAGGTGACTTCAAATACCAAAAATGATGGGGCAGACTACAACAATGATTATCCTGATCCACCAGACAAATTATTTTGGGGCTTGATACAGCTTGCTGAAGCTAATGCCATTTGTGTCTCATGTGGAAGTTAGTTGTGGCTGTGAGTTACTTCAAGGCTGTGGGTGTGTTAGAAATTAATGGGATTTTAAAGCAGAGGTTTGTCACATGTAAGCTATGGCCACGTGCATAATTTATATCCTGGCAGAACCAGTATTGAGTTGGATAAAATAAAAGTGATCTTTTTCATAGGTTTTATTTTGACAAAAAACTTCAATTAACCAGATGTAAAATTTCCTTAAGTTTAGATGCTACCAGAATCCAGTCACAGGCAATTTGTTTGTCCTTACATGACAGTATAATTGGTCATTGGTCTTTTACATCTCCTGAAGAAAATCTGTTGACATTTTCCTGCAACAGCTCATGTAGTGAAATGCAATTTATTTGCCAGCAGTGCAATCTAATTTATTTGCTACAAGCTTGTACTTGTGCCTCCCTCTTCACGTTCACGTGCACAGCATGCTTCTGTTCCCTCCGTGGCTGCTCCCACACCTCCATGCCCGCTGCAGAGGGGAGGCAGCAGGGCTGCACTCCTCCCTTCCAGTGCCAGCCACAGGGCTGGGGAAAGGAGTGTGTTATTCCCAGGACACCTAAAGGGATGGAGGCTTTCACAGCCTTCCTGCTCCCGTGTAACAGGCAGATTATTTGAGGTGTATTGGGAGGTTCATCTAGCCTCGCCATCACTGAACAGGGACTCTGAGGTCCCTTGGGATTTGAGAGGGACCTATGCACGGGAGACTCTTCAGCCTGTTGCCTAGGAAGTTGTGCCAGATCTCAGAGCTCTACAGCTCTCCTTCAGGTGACGTGCTGTCTATAATGAACCCAAAGGTGTCTCTAAGTCCTACATGAGTTATCAGTTATACCTCCAATATACACCCTATGAGGGGTGTACCCAAGTTATACCCCATGAGAAAGTCTAGTACCATCTTAAAAAGAGGTAAAGATCCCCACAGCTGGCTGATTCCAAATATTATACTGACTTCTCTGACCAAATTAGTAGCAGGGAATTATTGATGTGTGCAACACCACCTCCAAACTGGAGTAACACTGGCATCATATTTGTCCAAAGAAAAACTCTCTGGATAGGAAACTGAATTAATGAGTATAAATTCTATGATTGCCCAGCATGGGTACAGATAACTGCCATTAAAACTTCTTCCATATTGGCTTGATTTTTTCCCATTCCTGCAGCAACTTTATTTTAATCTGCAGAAAACCACAGTGCTTGAAGAGGAAAAAGATCATTCTCTTCTGACAGAGGATTTTTGAAATCCTCTGTGTGAAAGCAGCATGGCTTTGAAGGAGGAGAATAATTTACAAAAAGGACCCAGAACTAAAATAAGTATACAAAAGTAAATCTTTATGGATCATATGCTGAATGAAAACTCTGCTGGCTTGAAAACCTGAGAAAAGTCCTACATAATCACCTGTAATTAACTTTTATCTTGAACTCATTTTTTAAAGTGCCATTTTAATTGGGTTGAGTAGCACACTTGGCTGGTTTTGTTAGGCTTGATATAACAGCTCTTTTGCTCAAAGGAGACCACCTCTGAGGAAAAAAAATTAAACAGCAGGACTCAAACACTCCTGTCACATGGAGGGGGAAATCCCCTTTTATTTAAGGGAAAGGCAGCAGCCCCAGTAATCATCATGTGACTGAAGTTAACTAATATCTTTTCAAATGTGAAATATGCTTCACCTGATGCAATGACAGCCTGAAGCAGTTTTATTTTTAAGTAAATTGAAAATCTTATCCTTGTTAGACTACCAGAACTGTCAATCTTTCATTTCGGATTAAAAAAAATAATAGGCCTATGGAAATGCACTTACAAGGTTTTTCTTTTAAGAAAGATAAGAACATCGTGAAAATACAGCTTGCTAAGTGCTCTGTCTAATCTGGTATCTTGTTTCATAGAGTAGCAAGGATCAGTAGCCGGCAAAGAACATTCAATACCTCAGGGTAGATTTAATCCCAAAACCAATTAAGGCTGATTTCTATCTGCACTACAACATCTGAAACTTTGTCATGGTAGGTAACTCAAATGCTGTGATACCAGGAATAGGAACGCAGAGCATAGTGCTGGCATAGCTAACCACCTCCCAGGTGTCTGAGTCAGCTCATCTCAGCACACTGCTGAAGCTGAGCTCCAGGGAAGATGCACCAGAGCTGCTCACTCAAAGATCTGTGCTGCCTTTCCTGACCTCAGTGTGTTCCTTCCCCAGTGTGTTCCTTCACCTCCCACTGTGGTCTCCAGAAGGTGTTAAATCTTCCTGCAGCATTCTGCTGGAAGTGAACTGGCACCATCCCACTGAGATCCACAGCTGTGTCACTTCACATCCACAGGGACACTGCTTCAAAGGCTGAACATTGTTAAAGATGGAAACAGTGGAATGCTCAATATGTATCTGGGTGTCAGAAGTACACTGGAACAGCCTGCTTTTAGAATCTCTAAATAATGATTTCTACAGCTCAGTACAGCAGAGGACAGGTCACTACATGCAGCATTGTTAATATGTATAAGGCAAATCCAAGCAGATGCTTACTGAGTTGTGCTCTTGCTGGAATATCTTCTCATTGCAAAAGCCACCATTGCTCTGAAGAGGTACTCTTCATTAGCATCCCAGGCATACTGTAAGGGAAGATGAAAAATAATTAGTTTCAGCACCAGTGCTGGCAGTACACAGAGGGAAAAGAGTTGCTGAACTTGAAATGGTGTATTGATCAAAAAGATTAATAAATTCTCTGGTTGTGCTAATAAAATAAATGCCCATTATTTAGAGTGAACAAAGGACTTTTTCTAATGGAAAAAAATTTAAAAAGTGCAATATAATCTATAATATAAATAACATAAACTGCAAGGAATGTTTCCAAAAATTAACTGAATATTTCTGAAAGCTGACCAAACTGTAGATGTAAAGTTTATTATACTAAAGACTAGGCATATTACTAGAACTCTCCCCACACAGCTGCACTCATAGCCTTGCCTCTTTTGCTGGAGAAACACAGTTAAAGTAGAAGGTTTAAATCCACCCTCTAAGACTATTTGGCTCTGGCAAAAATAATAATTAAAAAACCCTAATGTTTAAGGTGGTCTCCGGAAGTTTGACATTAGGAGACCAGGAAATAAACTGAGATTGCAGTCTTATTGCTGCACACTGTCCTGATTACAAGACTTAACTGTATTAAAAATTATTATACTGCATATGAGATAAAAGAAAGAAAATAGCATCCTTACTACTTCAGTATAAAGAAGAATGTAGGTTCCAAAAACTGTTCTCTGTTGTCTTGATGAAAAAACATGCTTTCATAATTTACGTTTTCTGAGACAGTTTCACTGGGTTCCTCTGGGCTTTCACTCACATATGCAATTCTACTGACCTGTAAGAACTGCATCTATTACATTCTTTTTTACAGGAGCCATGACTGAGGCATACTGATTTAATTTCTTCCCCTTTCAGCAGATTACAAAGATTATTAGTTTCTTCAAATTATATTAAGGGAGGTTAGAAACAGCTTTCCTCAGTCAGTCAGAACACAAATCTAATCTTTAACTTTAGCATTAAAAAATTTTTAACTTCAGCATTAAAAAAATCTACTCTGTAATCATCCAAATCAGAAACCCAGTGGTGTGGGCACTTAACTCTGTTGTCAACTTGGACCTACTCTTTCATGATCCTTTATAACACATTCAAAAAACATCAAAAAGCAATAGATAGCATTAAAAATTCCAAATCTTAATTCGGGTTTTTAAATTCTGATTTTGGGTGCATGAAGATGCAAACTCTCCACGAAAAAAAAGAGAAACTAACTTTCAGGTATCTGCAGCCCTCATGTTGTACTGGCATCCTGGGAAACTGAACAGGGAAGGATGCAGTCCTTTAAAGGGCAGAAAGTGATCTTGTTTATCATCCCTATCAGTTCCTGGGCCTCATGCTGGGCTCCTCCCTATTCTTGACCCCCCCCACCCCCCCTCCCTGGGGGCTCCCCTGTTGGGGGGAAACCCTCCTGGAGCAGTTCTGTGTCAGGAAAAGGAGAAGCACAGGACTTTTTTGGTCTTCAGCTTGTTGTTTATTGTTATCCTATCAAAACTTCAGCACGCTGTCTGCACTAGACTTTGCACGCAGGAAAAGCACTGCAAAATGGCCAACAATCTCTTGTTAGAAGGTCTTTTAAGACTAAACTACCCAATTAAGAAATGGCACCTTGATTATTTTCCCTTTTAACCCAATAAGTGATCCCTCAAAGCCCACAATGCAGACTTTTCTGTCCACTCACAAGACATCACCCAAACCCATGAAGAAGAAGGAAGAAGGAAGGAGAAGGAAGGAGAAGGAAGGAGAAGGAAGGAAAAGGAAGAAGAAGGAAGGAAGGAGAAGGAAGAAGAAGGAGCTTGGGACAACACCCAATGCCCTCCATCTTGTTCCCATCTGCAACATGCTAAAAATCCCAAAACCTAAATTTCTCACCCAATTGACATACTATACTACTCTATAATAATCTATTTCACACTTTTGTGAACTCTAGTCTATCTTGAAGTCTTGGAAGCTTTCTCCATGAATGAGGGTCAAAGTCAGTGCTGCTGACTTTCTCAGAATGGACAGAGAAATATTCCCTGTGCCCTGGGTTTCCACATCTCCCCCTTCTGTTTGAACCAAAACCACTCCTTTGACAGCCTCATCCATCACTTGTCGGATACACTAAAGTAGGCATGGCACAAATATTAAAAGGACTGCGACACCAATCAGTGCATATACACCTATCTTCAAAAGGTCCCTCCATGGTGGTGCAACATCAAACACACTGAACACACCATCCAGCCATGATGAATGTTGAGTGAAATGGGCCCTCTGAGATGGGACAGGACAGAGACAACAAAGCTGAGGCAGCAGACAACTTGAGCAGCATTGAAGTGCAGCTGCACTGCTGAGAACCTGGGCTCTGACTCACCACTCTTACCTCGTAAATGAAGGGGCTTGTGAGCTTATTGTGATAATGCTTCCCAACCTGTGAACTTCAACTGAAAAAAAACCCAGAGAGAAACTCTTTGGAAAAAAGTTATAAAAGTCTGTGTTTTGAGCCCACTGCACTGATGAAAATGTGAGAGTAATGAAAGCAACTAGTACTGAAAGAAAAAGAGTTCATGTAGTAAAGGAATTAACACAGATCGGAGCCATAGAACTATTTATTATAATTTTAAAGATATCTGTATTTAAACCATGAAGCACAATTTGCATTACTAAAAGAGAAGATCTGTTCTTTCTGTGTGTGGCACTATTGACTGAATCCCTACATGCCATCTGCAGTCTTTGAGAACAGGTCCAAAAGGACAGAAAAAAATGTAATTTGTTAGCCAGTGAATTAAACCAGCTGCAGAGATAATTCAATCAGTTGTCTTGAAAATGGATAATGATGAAGCACACTCCATTTCATTCTCACGTGGACACAAATACAATGCAGCACTACCAAGTGCATATACTCAGTATGTTTATGTTCAGAGCAATGCATATATACTTGCACAATTTATCACAGTTCTCATAAATAATGCAGTAGCCTAGCATTTCTTTAAATCAGAGTAACAAAAAGGGTATCTCAAATCAGGGAAGATAATTTGTAGTGAGGAATTACAGGCCCAGTTGAAAGAGTAGGCACTCTAAGAGTAAGAAAAGAGACAGAATAAAAAAGACTATGAGAAAGAGGGGGAGGAGTCTGGCAGAGAAAGCTCAGAAGAAATCAGGGTCTGCCTGAGTCAGGAGAAGATATTGCAGAAGGGCGAGAAGCCCTGAGAAAATGGAAACTAAACAGGAAGTAGAGGAGATGGAGATGGCTGTGGGCTCCAGGTAAACAAGAACCTCTGAACATGATTGCATACAGGAATATACAAGGGTAAGGCAACATAATAAAGAGGAAAAGTAAGGCAAGAACAACTTTAAGCTAACTGTATGAACTCAGGACAAGTGGGAATGACTTTCCAGAAAACAGTTTCTAATCAGCAGCTTTCAAATTCGAAACCTTGAATGATTTGGATTGGAAGGGACTCTGAAAATCATCTAGTTCCAACCCCCCTGCCATGGGCAGGAACACCTTCCACTAGACCTGATTCGTTCTACTGTGGGGCTTTATCAGCTTCAGCTTTATCCTCCAAATGCAAAGGCCTGGAGCACAACTCCAGGAGTGTGGATGACTGAGATGTCCCTGTGCAGTGCAGCTGTTGATGCACACTTTCTGCTGCTATAGAGGAAACATTAAATATCATTTGCAACCATATTTAAATATCATTTGGAACCACATGCTGTAAACATAACTGTTATGAATGAAACACTACATGATGGTATCAGAACTGTTAAATTTATAATCTTCATTGTGCTACAAAGGAAACCAACACAAAGACATTGGCTCAGTTGCACTTGCCATCCTTTATACATTAATGAGGAACAGAATTGGACACAGCTAACTGTGAAAGGCAGTCTTAAATGCCTCTTGCAGAATGAAGAGATGATGAGATAATGTGTGAAAGATGATGCGTGTAGGATGCTCATGGGGTGAAATGCTGTAATAGTGCTGTAAAAGACAAAATTTAAGATATAAGAATATAATATTACAAGATTCCTCTGAGCAACCTAGCCTGTTTTCAGTGTTGACCCAGCTTTGAGCAGGAGAGGACGAGGAACCATCCAAGATCTCTTCCCTCCTATGAGGGAATGGCTTAACTATACAGCCATTCAGACTGCAGAGTGGCTACAGACACACAAACACACTTCTGGATTCCATCTGGTGGCAAAACACAAGGTCAGCCTTCCTCCTCTTCATCCTCTACCCTGGAAGCAGCCTGAATGCATGGGCCAGAAGGGAAGTGCACTGTCCACTTCAGCTGGCTGTGAGTTGCCAAAGCTTTGACTCTTTTGGTGCAAATGAGTGATGACATCAAGTTACACAGACTTGTCAATGCCCATCACTTCTTCTCACTCTCTAGGTGCCTCTATCCCTTTTGAATTGACTCTCTACCCCTCTGCTGGCTCCATGAAAAGAAAGCAACTAGTGACTAACAGCTATTCCAGAAGCCACTCATAAAGTCAAAACCATCCTCAGATAGGCTCATAAATTACTTCCACTCAGGCCTACAGGCACCGTGTTTTCTCCCACAGATCAGCAAACAACACCTCTGTCAAGTACACCCATTATTTGCAAATAAAATGATAACAGCTGAATACCTACTGCATCAGAGCTGGTCTTTCCAGCTGCACTGTGATAAGAACTAAATAAATACGCCAAATAGAACTCCCTGCCTCAGAGTACAGCTTACCTGGTGAACAAACAAAAAATGGTGTCCTGTTTTCATCACAGGGGATGGCATGCACTACACTACATGTGAAAAGCTGCACCAAGCTATTTCCTATGCCCCTGGAATTATCCTGCCACTCCTAGAGAAAAATTCCCACAGCATCAGGGCTTTCTGTTATCATGGAGCTTCAAGTGACCTGGAAATGAACCAAGCTGACTGTGTCCCACTGTGACACAATGACAGTATTACACTTTTCTTTGCTAAAATAAACAAGTAACACAAAGAAGTAAAGTGCCCCAAATTCTTTAACAAAAATGAATTTCAGTTTCATAGCATTTTCAGTTTTCAATTTCAGTCATTCACAGAGAAAACTGCAATGGCTATGAAAAGGAACTACTACTACTACTACCTGTGTACTTAATAAATTGTTAATTATTTGTGGATGATTTTCTATGACACCATACCACTTTCAGCAAGCTGTTCTTCTAAAATGCTGTTCTTGACTGTCCCATTCTTTGAGCTTTCACACACTTTGTTCTATGACATAAACAACTACAAAAAAACAACAGACTCCTCAGTTATGGCTTTTTTCCCAGCAATACAAAGAGCCTTCAAGGATAATGATTTGTCTCATACCCTTTTTCAGTGAAAAACAACAAAAAAAATTATAAATGATCAAACAACCTCCCCTTATTTTACTACAGCTGGGAAAGGAAATGGCACTAAAAAAGGGAATTACCAGGAACTGCAATTTTTGTTCTTTGCTACTATGTTGAACCAATATTAGATCAAAATATTAGCACTTACCATCAAGAGGAGCTTTAATAATTATTTTGACATCTTTTCAGCAACAGTATTACTCTATTTTTAATAATTAAAAAAACCCCTAGGCTTGCACTACTGTTTAATTAAAGTCTCCCACCCAAGAGAATTGACTTCACTATGAATTTTGAAACATTTACTTTAGCAGGTCTCTAGAATATTTTTTACTTTGTCTGGTTTATAAAATTACCTGTGAAATTTCAATCCCTGGTAATGTTAGTTTAAATTACCTGATCTTTCAGGATAATTTTAGAACAGCTAAAATTATCCAGTCATAGGGAGTTTCTTGTATAACCAGTCTTCTAAAACATGTAACCTACTGCTTTTTGTATCCCAGGGCTCATAACATGAGCAGACACCAGACTTACAGTGGACATGACTGTCCAGGATGTTTTATACCCAATTTTCTGCTGAGCCCGGTTAACATGCTGTAGATTTGCTCAAAGTATTCAAAACTACTAACAAAGTACTGGGCTCTAACATATTAAATAGTGCCTTAGATTAGGAAGGACCACTCAGTCATCTAATGTCCCAATCTCTTATGTTTCTCTCATTGCTCACACCAGTATTTCTACATTTAGCCAAAAGATCTGAATTAAGCCAAAGTATTTCATGAGACAAGCCTGTGCACCACAGGCAGAGGAGGCCACTATCTGAAGCCCTCCATTAGCAGGGAATTGATGAGACATGCTTGAATGATCTCTACAGTTAATGCTTGTCTGAGAAACTGATATAAAGTCCCTTTTCATAAAGACCTAAAAATCTTTTCCTGCTTCTCTTCCTAGACATGCTTGACTTTACAATTAGCACTCCTGAGCAGAAGTGCTTTTCCCAAAACACAGACTTACATTTATGCAGCACTTCTCATGCATAAAGTGTAACATCCCTACTGCTTTTCCAGGGGGGAAAAACAATCTTTGACCAGAAAATTATCTTTATGAACAAGCAAGATTTATATTTCTCCTAAAGGATGACATTTTAAGGAGTGGGCTAGTCAAATCTGAAGAAATGGATGCCTGGATCATGACTTGAGCAAACCATTACAATTAACACTGCAGAATAAATTGCTTGTGTTGCATTCACAAATTTTATAGTATACATTACTTCTATTTTGGCAGATATTGAGTTAGGAAGAATATGTGAAGATATGTTACTTACTGCATTATCTCCCAAAGCTGTTTTGATACTAATCCGTACTTTGAAAGCATTCTGTGCATCTGACAAAAGAGAAAAAAGCAAACATATATTGTTAGTCACTCAAAATAGGATTTTAAATCATTTACTTCCCTGATTATTTCACAAATGTGAGTTTCTAAATGTGTCTTAAGAAATAACATGTTTAGGAGAACAGAAGTTACTTGCATGAAAAAAAGTCCAACAGAGTCTCAGTGAGGTTTACAATGACCTCTTGAAGTGAGACCAACTTCCATACTTAATTTGCAAACTCATAAAAGAAGTGAATGCACAGCATTTCAATCTTCAAATTGAAGGCAATCAGTTAAAATAAAAATCTTAGAAGCTGGCAGCTTTGTAGTCTAAACTGATAGCTACTTTACCTAAAGAAAGATAGAAATCAGCTCCAGATCTTACCTGGCTTGCAGAGCTCAGCATGAGCAATGGCAACTACAGAAACTAAAAGCAGCAAAGCCCGTAACATCCCGTCAGCATGGAAAGATTGAGGCAAAAATAAGTGAGTCTCCCCTGTAAAGCACTCTTAAACTTTGTGTGACCCAGGATTAAAGCATCAGGAGCACAAGTGAGCGACCAAGTAAAAGGTTTAATAATTAACCCCCGTTATTTTAACTAAAAACAGGCACTAGAAATAACTGTCTTCTGTTAGTTATTTACTACTCTTCTTTGTAGTTAAAAAAAAAAAAAAAAAAAAAAAAACACAAAAACTGCAACAAGTATTTAATTTTCCTTCTTCCTTTTTAGAAAAATACAACACTTTACAGAGTGCTCCAGGCCAATCTTTTTTTTCTCACAGGCATAGTGTCAGACACACGAGGTGTTTGTGGGATGTCACACCAGAGCAGCTGGCAACTGTTACTCACAGCAGGCAATCTGAAGCTTGGCTGCCACTAGATCTCGAAGGAAGCTGCCACCTGTCTTCCACGGGAAACTGTCTGGCCCCACTGAGGGTCCTTGAGGATAAAGGAAACCTGGGCACCCTTTTCACCTCACCAAAATAAATGTGTGATGAATATAGAATACCTGGACCCAAAAAATAGGGCTCAGGCATTTCCCCTTACTTGCCCTTGAATTCACAGCCCTCGGGCATAGTGCCATGTGCCCCCATCCCCATCCCAGCCCCACTCCTGTGTCCTTGCTCAAGCCCAGCAGAGCAAATGCCTTGTTCTACACAAAAACACCCCACATCTGAGGCGTTGCTTTGCATGAAAAGAACTGTTATATGTAGGATGAAATACTTTTTTCCTGTCAGAGGTTTATTATGGTAGCAGCTAGAATAAGCAGAGGCACAATAAAGGACATGGTAGGAAGCATGTTGAAAAGGAACATATTCATGTTTTGTAGACATGACCCAGTGTGTATACGTGTACACACACGTGGAAATATTTTAATGCACTCTGCACTATTAATCAAATGTTTACCAAGACAAATAAACAAATTGGGAGGAAAAATAATTCAGAAACTGGAATGTATTGCAGATATTTGAACAGTGTCTGCAATCTAGGCAGCAAAACAGGATTACTTTATTTAATTATGTTGCAGTATTCCCCATGTAGCCACTCTGATTAATGGTTAGTACCTTGAAGATCACTTCTGAATTACTTTCAGTGGTCCTTTGGCAGCAAGAAGTGTGTCTTGAGACTGCAAACCCAAAGAGCTTCACACAAATGAGAAAATCTGACTTACTGTGGGCTGAATTTTTGAAAACCAATAACCAATTAGATACTCATTCTTTCAGGTAACAGAGAACTTGCTGTTTCAGTAATTGCAACTGTTTTTAGAAGCCACTGTTAAAGGACTTGATAGCCCATCTTTAAAAGTCATTCACCAAGCTGATTCCCAGTCACCTCTTTGCTCTCACTAGGCAACCCAGTCTGGGTACAAAACTATTGGATACATTACTGGCTTAGATGTTCAATCTAAGCCTATGAAAACAAAAAAGTGATGCATTCATTTCTAATGACAGCTTAAATTAACATGCTGTATATATGCACATCAAAAGGAGACAACAGAAAGATGTATAAATACTACCAGGTTTCTGTAGCATTTGTGACTTAAAAATATCTTAAAAGAATGTGACTGCAGCCAGTTTCATGATAAATTCATGTGCATGGCTTCAATAGCGAACACATGAACTTTTTTGTACCTTTGAGGAAGCACGGAAGAACTTGGGTAGAGAAAAGAAAAGCCAAGCACTCTTTCCCTGCTGCCAGATGGCAAATGAAACTGAGTGTGATACACAGCATCACCACTTCTCCCTGCTGTAAAACATCACAAATCAGTTCTGCCTCTCAGAATTGCATGGGGCCAGTGTCAAAGTACAGCAAAGGGACACGGCACCCAGCAGGAACAAACTCAGATGACATGACCGGATTCCCTGATCAGGGCTGCTGAATTCTAGCCAGGATGGCTGATTTTCCCCAATTTGTCTTGCTGGCAAGAAGCAAGACAAATGATTTTTTTCCAGCAGAGAGGGGAGGAGGCCAGGAGAAGAAGCAGTGTGATAAACATCCCAGCTCAGAGCTCACAGGGAGAGCATCGTGCAGTTGATATATACGTGCACAGCAACGTGGATGTGTGCCAAATGCATCCAGCTGAAGGCCCATGTGCGTACCAATTGTACATGCACAGTGTACTGCACATTAGCAACCAATTGCTACACATCTATAAATCTTTTCCCAAAGCCAGCACATTTTTTAAATAAGCCAGGTGGACACGCAAGACTACACCAGGTGTTAGTAGGAAGATAGCGTTGCTTCAAATTAATTGTATTTTAAAATTCTGTCTTAAAAAGCACTGCAACTTTTCAGTTTACAGATGGAGTATATCTATATAATCTAAAAGGACAGACATTCTCCCACCTCATATCTTTGTAATAATTCTGCATGCATGGATAACTTTCTGCCCAGACTCTCTGCTCCCATTTTGGTCCAATACACAGCACTGTTTAAGCATTTGTTTGCCACTGATTAATCAGTCAGGCATCAGTCTGCTTGAATAAATTAAAATCCTCAGGCACATATGCAAGGTATGTTTTTAACTGACTACTTTGTGAGGTGTTAGATTTCTAAGTAGTTCCTCTTTTATAGTATCTTTGTTTTTCCTAACTACTGTGGAGAAACAAGTCATTGCCATGAAGAATTTCATTCACGATCTGCATTCCAGAAATATCACTGAACTAGTGCAAATAATTATTTCTCTTATTGTACTAAATGAATTTGTTCTTTTTTCAGTAGTTTTGATCTACAGAAGTTCATGTATAATCTGTATGTACATATTTAAAAATACATCAAAATTTGAACTACAAAAAAAAAATCAGGAGAAATTTGTTGAAAAGTCAAGAGGCATATGACTTGGTAAAACAAACAAACAAATCCCCTCAATCTTTTCCATGTGATTTTAGCAATGTACTTTTTCTGCTCCTTTCAGTGTCTTTGAAATGGAAAATCCCAGGGAAGTAAAATATTGATAGCTATTGTATAAGTTAATTAACAACTATGGCTAAACTTAACCTCAGTTTTCAAATTTGACAAATTAACAGCTTTAAACTCTGAGGAAGTTAATCTTTAGTCTCAAAGAGTTGTGTCCAATTCTTACGAGGAAAGAGTCAATGTGTGACTGTCAGCATTAGTCACTCATGGAAACGTACCTGGTGAACTGCAGACCCGAACAGCAGTTGTGCACAGTGCTGTGCAGTTCCCTGGGTGCAGTGGAAATGACAAACACTGCATGTCTTTTCCATGGGGGAACAGGGTGTTGAATGAGGACTACCACCACAGTCATCACTGTAACAGTGCAGAAGTGAAGAAGTGACTTGATTGTCACCAAGTTTTATCAGTGCTCACAGAAGCAGACTGTGTGAGAAATCATTTAGCCCTCAAGACAATAGTGAAGGTGGGAGAAGGATGCACTTGCCAGCATTCCCATATATCACCGTGGAAAAGGGCACTTTGCAGTGGAAAGCACCAGGGACAGCCCACAGCAGGGCTGGCACTGCAGGTGAGCAAACGGAGACTTCCAGCATGGAGGGGGTGGGAGGATGGGGCTGCTGCCACCACTTCATCATCACGCCTGTATAATAAATGTCAACACAGCAAGAAGTGTCAATGAAAACTGACCCGTTCCAAACCCACACTTCCTGGATGGCTCCTACTTAGCACATATCTTCTGGGTCCAACAAATCCAAGTTAGTGATTTGACTGCCATTTGTCTGCCCCTCGTATTCTCTTATTTCCATTTGCATCATCCAGGAAAAAACCAAAACAGATGCACAATTCCATGAGGAAAGGTGCCACTCTTCTCCTGGAGCATATGGCAAATACTATGGTGAAGACAGCTTTTACATAATCTGTATGCATATCAAATGTAACTTTCTTTTTTCCACAGAGGGCTTGGGCATACAACAAAGAGAATGAACCCTTCTTATCTGCTTACATCAGTCTACAATGGCAGAAAATACAATAATTGGAAACCAGAAGAGCCACAGGGAAAGGAAGTTCAAATACGTGCCAGAGAGTCACTGCACTTCAACACAGAGCTGCTCTACTGTGCATGCACATTTCTGTGCATACATCTTGAAAGGCACACAGAGATTTATAATGCAACATGGGACATCCATGGTAGTTACTGCACGTACGTTAACTACAACTTGTAAGATAAAAGCTTCTCTGTTCTGGGCTGCTCCGTACAGCACAATCTGTGTATCCAGTATTGACCTTATGAGAGGGTTCATGTTGTACTGGACCATGAAGGAGCATTTTTCTTTGGAAAGTATGGAAGAGTGAGTTCCAAAACCTGAAGGTTGCCACAAAAATAAACTATGCTTATGGAGGCCTGTGGTCTATAATTCCAGTGTGAGGAATAAGAGCTAGTGACTGGAATGCAGTGTTATTTTCGATAGGTGAATGGCTCTTGCCTGGAATTGCTGTATCTTTTTCTTTCTGGCACTCTATCAATTAAATTATATGAAACTATGCACCTGCCTTGAAAATCAAGCTGCTATATGTGTATAAACTAACAAAATAAACAAAACTGAGAAAAATTCAACTATTGTATTCTTGTTTTGAAGAGAATGACAGCTTTTTTCCAGAATCATTCTGGATATCTGAAATAGCTGTTATGTTTTGTGTTTTCTTAAAATGAGATCCTACTTTTAATTGCTGAAATATATAAGCTTAAAATGGTGCCTTCCCCAAGAACACTGGAAAAATGCCATGATGAAATGTAGCATACCGAAAGAGAGAAATGACAGAATTTCTCAATTTAGACTCATAAATAGCTTAAATACCATAGTTAATATGGTATTTCCTCTGTTGATGGGAGGATGAAACTTATAATTTCCTAATGAAATAAGACTATGAAACACATTTGGTTGTTTTTTGTTTGTTTGTTTGTTTTTTAAAACTTTCATGGGTGTCAATGGTTCATCAGTTGTTAAATGCCCAATACTGCCATCTTCTGTATCCAAGAAACAGCAAATTATGTGTTACTTTACATGTATGTTCTGCACAAGGAACAGTGGAAGTACTACTGATGACAAGTCCTTCATTTTAAGAGAGCCTAGGATCTGGAACAGAGTTAAGTAACAGCAGAGAGGTCATGGTCTGAATATTCATTGGTCAAGTGGCAAACCTAACTGCTGACTACAGCAGTCACATGCTTGCTTTGAATAACTTCACTGAGCTTCAGAATAAGAAAGAGGATACTCATTATGCCGTTAATGAACAGCACAGTCAATTAGTCAGATGTTGACAGAGCCTGATGTGGTGTGCTTCACCTAGCTGTTTCTGCAGTGTACTACCTCCAGGATACAAGAAATAAGCTCCTACACCGTGGTTTAGGAGAACAATTTATACCTTAATCAACAATTATACATTATTAATAGCCATGCAAAACATGCCCAAATGAAAGCTACAAGCACACTGCCTCTGAAGGCTGCAATCTATCACTCCTGTCACAAAGGAATTGATTACTGACAGCTTGCAGATTTCCACCCACCACACCCGTGAGGGTCTGTGTGGAATAGTTTCCTGCCATGAAATGCATTTATAATCAGGTCAGGTACAATGCCTCAGAGACGATGATGGGAATACATCAGCAGTGCGAGCTAAACTGATCAATGCACTGAACTGTGGCTTCCCTTAGCTGCGAGAGCCTGTGGGGCAGGGCAGCCATGGGACACACTGAAAGTTCACCTCATGGCAGGCACCGAACAGCCTGCTCCCACACACAGCACCCAACAGCAGGCAGGCAGCTCACAGCAGAGCACGGGCTGGGGGCAGGCAGCCACTGCCCGCAACCACTCAGGCAGCAACAGCCCAGGCCAGCCCCGACAGCACGGCACAGGCACCCAGCTACCCAGCTGGGCTGGAGACATTACAGTCAGGAAAGGCCAAGGGAATTGGGCCTGTTCAGCCTTGAGACAACCGAGGGGAGACCTCATCAACACATATTGGAAAGGAGGTGTCAGAGCATGGATCCAGCTGTGTACCATATTCTCGTGCTGCCGAGCAATAGAACAGGCAACAGGCGGAAACTGATGCACGGGAAATTCCACCTGAACAGGAGCAAGAACTTCTTTACTGTGAAAAGCGCCAATCACCTGCTTTAAAATTTTAAGTTTAATGGTAATAAAATTGTTATAGAGTAATAAGAATTTGGACAGAGTTAGGACAATAAAAACAAAGAAATACAGACAGTCCGGATGCTTTGCTCAATACAGCATCTCCACTAACAAAAGAACAACCCTTAAAAGCCATAGCCCTTTGTATATTCACATCTCATACATGATGAAAATATTCCTTTCAAGCTCGGAATTTTTCTGTTTTCTTTCAACTCTCCCCTCATCCTGTAAATCCTTTCGGCTCTGAGGTGTCTAGAAGAAGTTGGGCACAGTCCGATAAAGAGGCCATAAAATCCCACCTTGGAATTTTTGGGGGTCCTGCCGCTGTTATCTCTATGTGAAGAATTTCTTGGTTATCTTATCCATTCCCTGTGCTGGTCACAAAAAGGTATCTTACATCACATCGCTTCTATTTTAATATTACGCTACAGCCTAAAACTATACTTACCACACTACTTACAAAAGATTAACACTACTAAAAAAGGACTAATACAAGATTACTTTCAAACGTAACACATATAGTATTCATTTTAATATTGTGAAGAGCCAATCATAGAATATTAATTTTTTTTTTTTCACGTTTACTATGTGTGACTAAGCACTGGAACAGATTGCCCAGAGCGGGTTGGAGCCTCCGTCACTGGGGATACTCCAGACCCGCCCGGACACAGCGCTGCGCCCTGTGGTGGCCCTGAGCAGGGAGGCCGGAGCACATGATGCACTGTGCTCCCTTACACCCGGGCCCATTCCGTGATGGGAGAGATTGGATGGGAGCCTCTGGCAGACGGGGCTCCCCGGGGCTCCCCGGGACTCACTCCCCGGGTCCGCCCTCAGCCGCGGCCCCGCGGCGCGCGCCCGCCGGAACCGATTGCGCGCCCTTCCGCCGCGGGGTCACGTGACGTCCCGTCGGTCCCGCAAGATGGCGGCGCCCATGTTGGTGCCCGAGCCCCCCCTGGGGAAGCCGAGGTGAGGCCGCGGCCGGGCCGGGGCTGGGGCCCCCCGGGACAAGGGGGAGGGCCCGGGGGTTCCTGCGGAGAGTCGCGGCCCCGTCCTGGCCGGGACCGCCCGAGCGCACGACGGCCGCGGCTGAGGCCGCCCCGTGGCCGGGCCCGGCAGTGGCGCAGCTCCGCGCGGACCGGGGACTGGGCTCGGCGGTTCTCGGGACGGGAGCGCGGCCGCGCTGGGGGCGCCGAGTGGGCCCGGAGGCGGCGGAGCCGCGGGCGGGGGCGCTGCCGGTGCCGTTCCCTGCCGGACGCGGGGCAGCGGGGCCGCCGTGTCGGCCCGCCCTAGCTGCGGCGGGCGGGACGGCATTCCGCGCCGGGAAAGCGGCGGCCCGGACTGATGTGAGGAACAGGGGAGGAGCGGCATGTGCGTGCCCGGGCTGAGCCCCGTCCAGCCCCGCCGCAGAGGCTCCGGGCCAGCGCGGCCGCGCTCACAGCGGGATTCCCCGGTCGGGCTCTCCGGGTGTTTGGCAAGGCCTTGCTTCGGTGTCGTGCCGCTGGACGCAGAGGCGAACCCAGCCCTGGAGCAGCTTGGGTGCCGCTGCTCCTTGTGCGCCAGCTGTGTGCCCACCTCCTCCTGCGCTGGCCGGGGAGTAAGGGGAGTTCCTCCCTCCCCTCCTTCCTTGGGTTTCAAGAACAAGAAGTTCCCAGGAACTGGGAAGGAGCTTCTCCCTTGTCAGCCCCAGGCAGCTGCCGAGGGCTGGGATCCATTTCGGGCAGGTCCCGAGGTGAGGAGCGGCCAGGCTGGCCGGGCCAGGGGCAGAGGCCCAGGCGCAGGCAGTGGTCTGTGCGGGCGGGCGCTGCTGGCAGGACAAGCACTGTGGTGTCACCTTGGCACGCACAGGTGTGCACGTGGTGAGGATGTGAGCAATCCTGAACAGGACTGGAGATGTGGGTGACGTTCTGGCTGGCTGAGTTGCATTTGTGGAATCTTTTAAAATTACACACTCCAAAAGAGGAAGGTTTCAATCTCCCATCAGCATTTGGTGTGGCACAGTGACAAGAGCTGAAGATCATCCCTCCTTCCCAATTCTCCATTATGACCTGGTTAGGAAGAGGAAAGATAGAATGAAACTTGACAGAAAAGAGCTTGATGGGAAAAGGCTTTTGGACATTAGAGGCATTTTAGCCATAGTGAAAACATGGTGGTGCCTGTAGGCAGCTGTTCAAAGCTATCAGA